TACCCCCCCAGCGGTGTTGCTGCGTGTTTAGCTTACTGAGTGCTTCCTCTGTTCCTCCGGGTTGGAAACCGAGCAACTACAACTGCTTCGTGCGTGTCTTTATTATTAGCATCGACCGCGCTAACCGGCTGACCAATGAAAATATGGCAGTCTTATATATAGCAGGAGGGGGTCCAACCCCCCCCTCCTATGTGAACCCGGTTGGGTTGTCTAGCTAGTAGAAGTGGAAGATAGGGGCCAGAGGGGCAGACGACAGAATCCAATGATGGGAGAACTAAAAAAAAATAGTAGTACAGTGCGGTTGAAAACACCAAACACTTCTATCTTCCATGAACTGGGACCTCGTGAGGGGGCAGCATGGGGGAGGCTGAACTATCCTTCGGATCAAAGACAGAAACGGTGGCAACAGAAGAAAACTGCACACGTCTGCCAAGGCTATTGCTTTGTACTCGAGTTCGTTTAGGAGTGACTTGATTTCGCCTCCAGCGTCAAACCGCATCGAACGAATACTACATAAAAAGATAAAAAGCCGATTGGTGAAACGTGGATCATTTATTTGCTCACCTTAGGCGCCTACATGTCCGCAAGGTATCCCAGTGCTTCTTTGGCCACAGAACAAGGATCACCGTGATTGAGTAAATCCACTTTAGAGCAACTGCACTGCTGTCACTGCAGTCGCTGACAGGTACAAAGCTTGCATGTGATGCGAGGCGACGTACTGTAGTATGCATAATATAGATAGGCAATAACACTAACAGTAGGCCCTCTTATAAGTAGTATGTAAAGAATAACTCACTTGTTATTACTCTTGCAGAACAGCAGCAGCAGTAGTTGTTGCCTTGGGTATCGGTAGGAATGACACCAAAGGGCCCAGGATCCTCTACTCAAGCAGGGGCTACTAGATCATGTCCCCTGTTTTATCCTTCCGCGGGGAGTTGCATCTCTCCGCGCCTTCTATATTAGAAGGAACCATTCTCTTTTATGTTCCGTCTACGCATCTGAATCCTAGTAACACTTACGCTCTAAAGCTGTCCTGTGACGGTTACAGACTTGGCAACGCCTTCACAATACCGTATCAAACCCATACAGTAGAGTAGAGAAGAGTCGTTCTTGTAGTAGAAGACTGCTCAAGAACTACGTCATTAGTTCTGATGCATAAGGCCCCATTTTCTCTCTCAAGGTCCTTTCGAAACTACCCGCGTCCTCTAGAGACAATGCTACCCATAAAAACTTGCACCTCATAAATTATAATTGGTACTATATCTAATTGTCGCATCTCAGCTCGCGCGCCTCAGCAGCCACAGGTTTTCCTCCTGCACAAGTCGAATTTTCTGTTGTATTCTTGTCCCTTTCCTAGATCATTCAATGTAAGTATTGGATTGGGTTGGGTGAGGCCTCCTGCACCGACAGGAGGGCCTCGCCGTGAAGTAACTCTTCGGGCAGGGCATACAGATCGCAATATGCCCCGACCCGAAGCGTTTGAATGATCAGCAAGTTCATGAAAAGAGTTAGTATTCATAGGGCGGCTGGGATGGTCTCAAATATTTCTTCTTTCTCCTCTGCTCCGGCGTATTTCGGGAGAGAGAAAGGGGACTGAACAAGGTAGAGTCGTTTTCCAACATGCTTCATGTGATATCTGACTCCTCCCGATCCGAGATTACACATAAACATTGGTACTAGGTACATAATTCAAACGTCATGGACTACGCCCAATAGGTTGGGATTTCAGTAGTGCGGGTGAAAAGGATGGTGATGGTATTGAGGGTATTTCATTTGGGAGTGACGAAGGAGGAGGGAAGGGAAAGGAAAGAGAAGAAAGGAGGACGATGAAAACGATGATGGAGAAGGAAAATGTGGCGTGGAAGAGAGCAAGGGCCTTCGGGCCAGATGACCTTCCTCCCAGCAACGCCGCAGGGCTAGAGAGGACCTGCCAAAAAGTAGTGGAAATATTGGCGACGAGAGTGGCAGTGGTGATGCAGGGAGGAAGATGAAAGCACTCCGGAGGGAACGCGGGTTCAAAGTAGCAGCTTTGATCAACACGCACGCGCAGTTCTCTTCTGTTGCTACCGTTTCTGCCTTAAGTTCCGTGAGTAGCGTAGCGTCCCCAGTGATGCCCCCTCACGGCCCCCAGATCATGGCCTATAGAAGCATGTTGTGTTTTCAACCGACGTCTTTTCATCGGTCAGCCAGTTAGCGCGGTCGATGCTAATTATAAACACGTAACACACAACACCGTCTGACCCTCAAGGCCTAAAGTCTGATTTCAAAGACGGGAGGTGATTACACTCCCAGCAGCATACCACGGGCGCGGAGAAACTCCGACGGGTCTAGTCCTTTGGTGAACATGTCGGCTTTCTGAAGCGACGTCCAGATGTACGTTACGTCTACAATCAATCCCATTGGCTACCAGCGACCTTACGTGGTGGACCTTTACATCAATGTGCTTGGTTTTGGGAGTAATACGAAAGCTGGGAGTCAATTTTAGAGCGCCCGATTGTCCTCCCACACTGCGGTCTCTTCCTGCGTCGATTTATGGTGTTCAGCAAGTGGCGGAAGTACTTGATAATGTTGCACCCCTTGGGCAAAGCCACGAACTCTGCTTCGAGCCAAGAGGTCACCACCACCGTCTGCTTGGACGACGTCCAATCCACCGGTCCACCGGCCAAGTTCAGCACGGCTCCCGTGGTATGGTAGAGAAGCCCATGTATGTGCCTTCTGCAAAATCTGTGGCAAAGGTATGTGGTGCCCTCCGTTGACAGTACCTCGTCGTCCAAGACGGACATCGGTCCAGCCTCAGACGGGGATGGATGTCGTGAGACGCGCGTCAGCCGTGCCGAACTTGTCTAACACGGCGTTGGCAAACGCTTCCAGTTCCAAAGAATCGTCCCTGCGGTCTTGTCTCACTTGATTTCCATACCGACCAGGAATCAAGTTCCTCCCATGTCCACTGCTTTGAAACGCTCATTCAGCTGATCGACTATGCTCAGCACTTTGTTGTCGCTCTCCCCGGTCAGAAGAATATCATCCACATAAACAAGAAGTGTCTCCGTCGCCCTTAACGAATTCGATCTCTAAGAGAAAACCGTGCAGACTGTCCCATCAACCCATCAACCCTTCGAGGAAAGGCACAAACCGTCAAGCCGCGCCTTCGGTTTCCGGACAGCCTTGTTGCTTGTTATTGCATGAGAATGCTTCCGGGGGAATGACGTGCAGAGCTTTCGCCCCCGATCGCATCCTCGCGTGAAGGGACGCCATCCTGATGCCGGCTTGCGTAACTATCAAATGGGCAGATTGGAGTGACGCTACGGGCGCAGCCTTGTCGGTCCCTGTCTCAGCTTCGTGGAAACCTTGCACTAGAATTCAGGGTTTCTGTCGAACAGCGATTTAGTTGTTCGTCCACTCACGTATAAGTATCATGACGGGATAATTTTTGTGTCGGGTGGAGGATCACTGTTTACCGGATCAACGGGCCTGAAACTGTCGGAAGGATCCGCAGCATATGCCGGAGGGATATCAATCGCTGATCGACCACCGACGCTTTTGAGCGGGTCGATCCTCCGCCCGACACTCAAATTGTCCAGTCAAAACACTACCTGGTATGTAGGTGGAAGCACAACGAAGCCGGAATCGCCGCCGTTCTCAATGAAAGCTAAGGTCTGGAGTTCGAGACAAAGAAAGAAAAATATTGCTTCATGCCTAAGGAAACTGACGTTACCGATGAACCTCTTGTACCGATGTGATCCCAGGCAAGGCAGCGCTGATCACAGCGATGAAAACCTTGGGGGTGAACTCCGAATTCGTGGCTCAAAAGCTAGACGGACTCGGGCATTATATTTTATTGAAAAGCACGATGCTGAAAAGTATTCCAGTGGTTATCGTGCTTAATAGTCGGCGCTGACTGGTAGCCCAGTGGTCATCGTGCAGCATCATTTTAGGGAATTTCTATCGTCGCGTTAGGTTTGCTAAAGCAGAAGCGGTTCGCTACCGAGGCCGTAGATGCGAGAGAGGGTATGACAACCGCCCCGAGGCAATCAGCCAAGTACCATACTTGTGCGTGTTATGGCACCGGGGTGCGCTCGTTTTTTCATCATTCCTATCTTGGTTTTTTATCGCAACCCGGGGTCATTAAACCGATTGGTGCCATACCACCGATACCAGTATACCAGTGCGGAAATGCAATTAAATTAAATCATTTCGTTCTAGGTTTCCAACGCATCCCCGGTGCGATGACACCGAGCGATCCTTAAGAAACGAACACAGGCGTTCCTGGTGCAAGTAGGGCAGCTTTGAGGTACAGGATCCGGTACCAAAAACGCATGCACAGCCTTGGGAAAGCAAACACGCACCGGTGTCGGCAAAATACGGCGAATTACGACCACAAGATCCTGACAAAGGCGGCGAAATTACACGCTATCCCGCAGCAAAACGAGTCACGCAGCACAATCACAACCAAAACATGAACGCAAACCCACGAAGCAGTACCGTTTAGGAACTCCTTCTTGTTCGGTTGGTTGGGGGTGCGGGATGTGTGCTGTATGCTTGGTTGAGTGAGTGAGTGCATTCGATGTACGGATTCCCTTGAGAATGCTTGAATCATTTCTACGCGCACGCCTCGACGGTACGATATTTATACGTGACAGGAATGGCGCCCCAATTGGTACCTACCGCGTGTCCAGGAGGGTACCGGTACCTTGCGGAAGCACGCAATTTCGCGTCCTAAGAAGGTTTTATTATATCGTTGATATCGCACCGGGTGCGTTACGATACCGGTGCGGAAATGCAATTGTTCATGCCGTTCGTGGTATTTTTTGCGCACGCCGGTGCCATAACACTGATGGGTTCGAAATCAACGACGGGTGCCATGACACTCACAATTGCGGTATCTGTGCGATATCGTCTGCTCCTACTATTTTTTGTTTGCGGAGCAAAGAGTTACCTCTCATTTGAGACGAACACACATCGCGCGGCCCCTCAATCTCTACAGGAGCAGGCTCAAGACAATGGCAGAAACTCAATTCGGACCGGAGGGCTGGACACCTGAGCGCCTCGGCAACCTTGCGGGCAAGACCTACCTAATTACCGGGGCCAATGCCGGTGTAGGATTTCAGGCATCCCGAATCCTTCTGTCGAAGGGCGCAAAGGTGGTGATGTTGAATCGCAGCGTCGAGAAATCGGCTGCCGCGGTCAAAGACCTGAAAGAGGAATTTGGGGTGGGTGCTGATGTTAGCTTTGTCCGCATGGACCTGGCCGAGCTTGCGAGCGTCCGCGAGGCGGCGGCAGAGGTGTTGAAGACCGTTCCACAGATCGATACGCTTATCTGTAACGCCGCCATTGCGCAAGTACCGTCGCAGAAGCTCACCAAGGATGGCTTCGAAAGCCAACTTGGCACCAACCATTACGGTCATTTCGTCCTGTGCGGAATGCTCTTCGATCGCATCGAAGAGTCGAAAGGCCGGATCGTTGTCGTGGCCAGCCTTGGCTACAAAATGGGGATACGGACGATCCAGTTCGACGACATGAACTGGGATAAGAACTACAGCGCCAACCCCGTCTACAGCCAAAGCAAGCTGGCGCAGATGATGTTTGCCTATGAACTCCAAGACCGGGTCAATCAAACTAGCAAGAGTATCGAGGACCAGCGGCGGCGTTTTCACAAGGATCGCGTTCTACCTCATGTCCCTTTCTCCGATGGTTCAATCGGCTGACAAAGGCGCTTATCCGGAAGTTATGTGTGCCACCGAAAACGGCTTGGAACAGCGCGCCCTTTATGGTCCCACAGGCCGCATGGAGTGGGTCGGCCCAGTAGGGAAAGGCACGCTAGAAGCCTTCGCCTACGACAAGGCTGTGATGGCAAAACTGTGGAGCCGATCAGAGAAGGAAACGGGGTTCAGTTGGAGCTTGTGAGTGAGCGAAAAGCGTGCGAAGCGTCATTTACCCGGCACCCGATACTGATCTGCAGTGACCCTGGGTATCGATGAGATGGCGGACTCTCGTGATGTAAATAGACACAAGGGTTTTGATGCCAACTTTATTATTTCTCTTTCGGCCTCTGACGAAGCTACCGACACAAGAATTCCTCGATTCGGGTTTCGCCAGCAAGTGAAACGACCGGCGGTCTGTTTCCGGTGCGGTGATGGTGTGTGCTGGTGCTTTTGTGATGCGCGTGATACTACTGTAGTCTAGGTCGCAGGAGAGCGTCACTCTGTCTCCGACGGAGGCGGAGTACGTAGCCATGTTGGATAGGTTGCAGGAGGTTGTTGTACGGGCGATATCGCTGGAAGCTTTTTTATCTTTCCGGGCAGGAACGTTGGGTACACAGCAGTAGCGATTTATGAGGAAAGTTCGGGCTCTATCCGCGCTTGGGCATTAAACCAGTTGCTACGAACTCGAAGCACATTTGATATTCGCCACCCTTCCTCCGTGAGCGTGTATCTCAGGGCGAATTGATTCTTTGTCGGGAGCCGTGTTTTTTGCCGTCATTTTCGATATGGGCGCTGCAGCAGGAGGGCATTTTATCTTGGTTCACGTGGAGGAATCAAAGCTAGCTTCAGTATTTTTTATGAACGTTTTGCCTGACGTTGTCTGACACATTGGGCTCTCTACTTACTTCATCAGTTTGCTGGGTTTTGCTTGTTGTTGTCACCTGGTACAGTATGTATGTGTCATTTAGATGTTTTCGTGCTTCGGCATATCTTTATCTCACGGCAGAGAATCTTTTCTCACGCTTCATGTAGGAGGCTCGTCGGTACATTACCGCGCATCCCCGAGGACGACCAGGCACCCGCGGCGTCTTCAGTACTTACTAGCGATTCGAATTTCTTATAAGCTGTTAAGCGCAATTTTTGGTCCCCTCGATAAAGAGGTAGATGTAGACACGAGAGGAACAACTTTGGGACACCTTTGAATGAGTTGTGCATGACGACTATTGGTGAAATACTTTAGCTTCATTAATTAATAAGTCACGCCTTGTCCTCTTCTTAATTGTTTCAGAGAGTTGATGGTGAGCAGAATACAGAAGACACAAGTGGTGGGCGGGTGGCGACGGCACGGACGTTCGTCTCCGCGGCGTATGTACTCAATCAACTGATATCCGGAATGGGGTAGTTTGCCAAGGCGTGGTTGCCCAAGTTTTCGTCCCAGGGCGTGGTTATCAGTAGTGGTCACGACCACCGTAGAGAGCTGTACGAGGAAGCCGTATTTCGCGATCTGGAATCTCCAGGTTGTGACTTCAGTTAGAAGTCTACGGCTTTCGTAATCTTTTTAAAACTGAAGAAAATGATGTGGCTTGGACACAATGAATGCTGAACATTGGGTGGTTGAACATTGGGTGGTATCACAGCGTGTCCAACTCTCAACTAGGGAAATACTTGCACCTATTATGGGGAATCCATCTAGAGTGTCTACACTAAAGTCTAGGCCGCGCGCACCTCGACGATGCTACATTTATAAATACAGTAGCCTACAGTAATTCTTCTAGTCCCTTTGTAGAGGAGACAAATTGACTCAATTTGTTGACGGCGTAGTGGTTGAATTCCAAGATATATGTCGTTTTTCCCATCAAACGGCCGCTTCCGAAATAAATGTAAAACTGTTTCATAGACTAGTCTACACACGCACACCAACTACAAGCAGTAGAGTATCAAATGTATCATTAGCTCCGTCAACTTCAACGCCGTCCCTGTTCTAACTACATTGATTACAAGTTTGAGTTCCCACACCTACTTGCGTATGCGCTAACTACAGCAGCAGTACTACTAGATAGACTAGACGTGGTGGCACTACTACACGTGGTAGCTTATGTGGGCCTTGAGACGGACTAAAAACTTGAACTTCATAGTCTACGGCCGTAGTGTACCAGTAGATTGTTCCCCACTCGATGTCGTAGTGACACCGCACACGCCGTAAACCGCATACCTCACTACATAGACTACATACATACGTGCGGCGTATTATGCATACAAGTAGCTTTGATTTGATTCCTTGATTCGATTGTTCGATTGGGGCCATTGGACCGCTCTCCTTTTCGCGCTCTACCCTCGCCGTCCCCTTGGCAGCTAGGACGATCCTCGATACTTGATTCCCCTAGCGTTGACGAACGAATGTTGCTCGTCTTTGTGGCATTGCATACAATATGCATATGATATCCTTTGGCCTGCGCGGAGATGCGGCAGAAAAACCTTGGACGAGGCTCAAGAGGGGGTGGTATTAGGCGTCATGTGATAATTCACCAACGGCCACTCGCTGTATGCGTATGTTGTCTGCGCACACGCATACCCGCGGCACCAGCGAACCAGCGAACCGTTGTGTGCTGACCCGACACTCACCACAAGTGTAGACCAAGCTTACCCACGCTCTAGTTCCCTAGACATCTGAGGCCGCCTGGCGAAAGGCCTGCCCCGATAGGCTGGCCGTTCGTTCCTCCTTGTCTTGAGGAAAACAGCGGTTGGCGAGCGCAGGACTTTCTCACGGCGCGCGGGCAGCGAAGGCGACGCCCTGTCTGCCATCGAGGAGAGGGAGTCAGCCAGAGAGATCACAGCAAGGAGAGAGCCATGGCGTCTCGCCGCCTGGTGCTCCTGCTAGGCCTGCTGGTGGGGCTCCCTGCACCTGGGTGCGGAGTTTCGATATCATCAGCAGCGGTGGCAACAACCACTTCTTCCGATCCTTCGTGTGTGACGATAGAGGTGGGCACCGATGATATCTCATGTAGATGTGGATTGAGAGATGGTGCTCCAGTATGCCGCCTGTGAAGGGCCGTGGTGGGGAGGGAAGCATGTTCGTCTTTATCCGTGTGGCGTCGTGCAGTAGCCCGGCCTTGTTCGAACCTTTCCTCCGGGTGTTGGGGTGCAAGGTTGTTCGCCATCGCCTCTTGTCGTCTCTCCTGGAACCGGAACCACCACTGGAGCATACATACAATTGTATACACAAGCCTTTGACGCTCGCTTGATGCTCGCCTTCCACCCTGCGCGGTCGCCATTGTCTCTAGCCTCCCCTAGACAACACCAGCAGTGCGGCAGTACGCCTGGTGCCCGCTTTTCTTTGTGCGCGCTTGATGGCGTTACGTGCGTGCAGGAGACACAAAGACAGGCACACAACATGATGCGCCAAGAAAAAATGCGCCAACTGTGACCGCTGTAGTCTAGACTGTAATATTAGACGAAACCACCACGCAGCATGTCTTGTGTTTCCCCGCGCAAAAATCTCTGTTGGAATTTTTTTCAACATGCTTCACCCTATTTAGTGCTATTAATAGTATGTTCTTGTGTCGTGGGTGCTGCCGTTTTTCGCTCTTCCGTCCCCCGCACGCGAAAGCATCGCCCACCTCTCTGTTCCATTGGTGCTAAAGCAGTAATAGGTTATGCCCGCCTTGAGCACATCGAGAGCTAAATATTTTTCAAGTAAATAGCGCCTGGCCACCACGGCGGTAACATGTACAAGTAGGGGCAGGAGAACAAACTTCAATTTCCGGGTCAAGTCTCAGTTTCTTATGAAGACTAGTAATAGTCGCCATCGCCGAGCACAGGTTGTTGAATACCAGTCTATTGTTGGATTCTCGGCTGAGCTGTGTTGCTTTTTCCCACAGAGTTCATGGAAGTTTGTGGGAGATCCTCTCATTGTGAACGGCATTTTTTTCAACTGCGGACCGGCACTCCACTGCCGTGTAGGCTAGTTTTGCGCATATCACGGCTTGCTATGTACAGGTAGACAGCAGTAGTATGCAAACAGCGTGGTTTTTTTGCGATTAAACCGGCGCGTAAGGCGATCCTGCAATTCATCAGCGAAAAGGTCGGCGTGAAATTACCTGGCACTACAAGTTCCATCGCACACACACACAGAGATGAAAGCTCGACCTACTCACATGACCTCAGAACACAAAAATTCCGAAAGAGAGCGGTTTCGGAAGATATCGCCGTGACGGATGCTACTGCTGTAGCTAGTGCTTACAAGGATCGATCGGTTGTCATACCCCCTTGTGGTTATTGAGCAATTGAGCTTCGAAAGCACTCTCAAACGCTTGGCAGGTTTCTCCAGTGCATCATTTGCAGGCACACGTTGATCCCCCCCCCCCCCCGTCCACTTGCATCCACACACGAATCGCCCCGTCGCACAAACAGGTTGATGCCGCGTCGACGGCGAAGAGTTTCCCCGACTGCCCGGCGGTGCTGTTGGCTGTTTCACTTACCGCCTCCACCGAAAACTGTGCTTCTGATATTTCGATGCTCTTGGTGATGGAGGACTACCCCCGGGATGTGAACACGTACGGGGGGGAGAGCTCCGCAGCTTTGGAAGGTGTGTCTCGTTTGTTGGGGGGTGGGGGGGTGGTCGTGTCATGTATACCCCACGGTGTGTTCCGTGCGAAAGTCTGAGGGCAATATATCACAATATGACGAACAGCAACAGTTAGGGTGTGGAATAAGGTGGCTTGCCGGCTGACGACTTCTGTGCTGTGCTGTAGTGAACGAACGGATTGATATGTGGAAGTTTTGAAAAAGACTAGCCCTGTAATGGCCAGGGTAAGTACATATCATACCATTTCGATTCGGTCAGGGGAACGGTGGGTTTTGACCGCACCACACTTCTTTGCCGAGGGCACGGTACGCACCACTTGGATGCTTCTACCCGAGAGAACGAAATTGGAAACACCATGTGTCACCTCCTTGTTGCCCGAATACCCGTGTCGGTAATACCTCGCCTTCTTTACCCCAAAAGACCTCAAAGGTTCCAACAAGCGGAGAACGAGATCAACTCTCAGCTCATCTTGTTGGTTGCGGAACTACGAAACACATGTCGTGTGGTGATATGCGTGTTCGTTGTCGCCCTTGTTGTTGTCACGGGTGGACGGATGTTTGAAACCGCGTGCGTTTCCTGTTTCTTGTTGGTGTGCGATGTGTCGCGCGTTTTGTGTGTTTGTTTACCCGTTCTTGGCGCATGCAGACAAAACCATCGCGTGGACCGTACCGGCCCTGACGGAGGGGTCGGCGATGAGCTTGGAGTTTCGGCTGGACCTCTGCGGCTACTGCGACACGTACAACAACGGGAGCTTCAACCCCATCGACACCTTCCAATACGAGTGAGCAACAGGGTGTAACAGCAGCAGTCTTCGATGCGAAAGCCCGGGTTGAAGGGCCTGTAGATGTAGTGTCTCCTCTGGCATACTCCTTTGTGGTTTTCAGGGGTGCGCGTGTTTGGGTGACCCCTTCTGGTCGTACTAATTTATCGTTGTTACATTTCATGTCGTCGGCAAGTTTCTTGTCTGCCATTCTGTCTATTTAGATGGTACGTTGGACCAAAACAGACAATCGTGAAGGACGTTTGTTCTTCGAAGAAGCAAGGCTATGATAGAGACGTCACGTCGCCAAGTGGTGCAACGCTACCGTAGCCACGCGCCAAGCACCCAGCTAGGTTGGTTCCGTGCATCGCCCCCCGGCTCCAAAGGGGCTCAAAAACGTTGCGCCTCAAATCCCCCGCAGGGACTCCGAGGGCAACGAGCCGAACGACCGCAAGTCGGGCTACCAGCTCAAGTTGGACTGCGCCGGTATCGAGGGGAACCCCGTGGAATCGATCAACGCCACCCCTGCGCCGGTCCGGCCCCCCACCCCCTCCCCGACGGCGGTGGCAACGCCGGGGACTTCCGAGGTGACGATGGCCCCATCGCGGGAGGGAGCATCCACGGCCGCACCGACAGGGATGGCGACGGACCCGTCGCTCGAGGCAGCCACGCCGGCACCGTCATCGATCGTTTCCGCCACACGCGGGCCGTTCAAGGTAACGATGGCTCCATCGCTGGAGGCAACGACGGCCGCACCGACAGGGATGGCGACGGACCCATGGCTTGATGCAGCCACGTCGGCACCGTCTACGGTCGCGACCGCCTCACCGACGGAGATGGTCACGGACCCATGGCTTGAGGGAGTCACGCCGGCACCGAGTACGCAAACGACGGCCGGACCGACGGAGCTGGTGACGGACCCGTTGCTTGAGGCAGACGCGCCGGCACCGACTACGGGAACCACGGCGGCACCCACGGAGATGGCGATGAACCCATCGCTTGAGGCAGCCACGCCGACACCGTCTACGGTAGCGTCGGCCGCACCGACAGAGATGGTGATGGACCCCTCGCTTGAGGCAGTCGCGCCGGCACCGTCTACGGTAGCGTCGGCCGCACCGACAGAAATGGCGATGGACCCCTCGCTTGAGGCAGACCCGCCGGCACCGACTCTGGTGACGACGGCCGCACCCACGGAGATGGCGACGGACCCATTGCTTCAGGCAGCCACGCCGGCACCGACTACGGGAACCACGGCGGCACCCACGGAGATGGCGATGAACCCATCGCTTGAGGCAGCCACGCCGACACCGACTACGCGAACGACGGCCGCACCGACAGAAATGGTGATGGACCCCTCGCTTGAGGCAGACGCGCCGGCACCGACTCTGGTGACGACGGCCGCACCCACGGAGATGGCGACGGACCCATTGCTTCAGGCAGCCACGCCGACACCGACTACGGGAACCACGGCGGCACCGACGCAGATGGCCACGGACCCGTCGCTTGAGGCAGTCGCGCCGGCACCGACTACGGGAACGATGGCTCCATCGCTGGAGGCCACCACCGCTTCACCCACGGAGATGGCGTTGGACAAGTCGCTTGAGTCAGTCACGCCGGCACCGAGTACGCAAACGACGGCCGGACCGACGGAGCTGGTGACGGACCCGTTGCTTGAGGCAGACGCGCCGGCACCGACTACGGGAACCACGGCGGCACCCACGGAGATGGCGATGGACCCATCGCTTGAGGCAGCCACGCCGACACCGTCTACGGTAGCGTCGGCCGCACCGACAGAGATGGTGATGGACCCCTCGCTTGAGGCAGTCGCGCCGGCACCGAGTACGGAAACGACGGCCGGACCGACGGAGTTGGTGACGGACCCGTTGCTTGAGGCAGACGCGCCGGCACCGACTACGGGAACCACGGCGGCACCGACGGAGATGGCCACGGACCCATTGCTTCAGGCAGCCACGCCGACACCGACTACGCGAACGACGGCCGCACCGACAGACTCTGCAACGGCCTCACCGAGTATCACTACCTCCTCGCTTGGTATGACTCAAGCACCGGTTTCCGTAACTCAAGCACCGACCCCTGGAACTCAAGCGCCGGTCCCTGGAACTCAAGCACCGTCGGAGGCTAGCGAGGAAGAGGCATCCCCGCCGCCAGTGCTCGAGGGCGAAGGCAGCGGCAGCAACGACGACGACGGCGGCAGCGACGACTCCGAGTACGATTCGACCGGCGCGCCGACGCCGGTGGGCGAGGACGGTAGTCGGGGGATGATTTTCACTGCGAGTCCGTCTGCCGCTCCAAGCAGCGCCCCAACGTGTGAGTCAGCCCTCTATCTATCGGCTGTCTGTCTGTCTTTTTTTTTTTTTGTCACACGCTTGTTGGTTGGTGCTTTTTGGCCTACGGCAAGAGTTGAATTGAAGCGCGAGCAGTAGTACGATAGCGGTGGAACGCTGGCGGGAGGGAGCCTTGAGAGTATGACGCGGGAAAGCGAAAAAGAGACGTGCCTGTCTGCCTGCCTGACGCCTGCCGAGACCTCATCTCGTCTCGTGCACACGGCATATTTCGTCGTCGGGGCACCTTCGAGGTCGACGACACAGACCACAGCCGATGGTTTTATAGCAAGCCACGATCGTTGGTGTTCATGCTGGTACTTTTATTGCGCAGGTTCCCACGTACGCCCTTTTCATACGCAGTCTTGCCCGCGTCCGCATCGACAGAGTCTCCCCCACCTTTGCTGAACGCTTCTATTGCTGTTCTCGTATTGGCTTTTCTGAACCCCCCTCCGTCCCTCCCTCCCTCCCTCCCTCCCGCCTATCGGCGTTACTTCGTGAAATATTTTGTTCCCAAATGCTGTAATGGTGTGAGTGTAGCTGGAGGAAACGAGTCTTCGCGGGGGATCACGCTGGAGATTCAGTCGATCTTCGAAGCCAGGAGGAGGAGAAGAGCGCTGTCCTCCGAGGTGTCGCATGACGGCTCTTCTGGTGAGTCCGACGGCCAGTGCAAACTGTACGTTTACGTTCAGAGACCAATCGTTGTACAATCTTTCGCTGTGCGGGGTTTTGTCACTCGTCACCACCGACGAGACTCGTATTACGTTGTTAGCAGTATATCGAGGGTTCCATAATCACGAAATATTCCAACTTGTACCACACCTAAACTATAGTAACACCTTTCCCTTTTAAGCCTTGCCGTCGCTCCTTAAGGAAGAAAAATAATAACGAAATGTGGGAAAGGAGATAATCCAGACAAGAGCCCTCTCTAAAAAGTTGGATGAAAGAGAAGAGAATATGATTGTTGGTATTTTACTTAGTGTCTCTCCCAGGGGTAAAAAATAAAACGCCATGTCAAATGCTCTCATGCCTGCAGCAACCAACTCTCGCCCCGCCCCCCCCCCCCCCCCCCCCCATCCGAAATGTAATAAAGAAAAA